TTCCGATCTCCCCAAAACCCCAAAACCCCTAAACTTAAATCTAATTGAGAAATTCATAATTTGAAGATCTAAATAAGTTATCTCTATTTGTTAAATATAATTATTATAGAGCCAATTATAAATCTTAATAAAAATATCCAAAAATGATATTAAATCTAGATTTAATGGCTAAATACAAACAGTGTTTGTTTATCCAAATTGTCTTTTTCTGTCTTTGCTTGTAAAATACTCATTGATTTGTTAAATTAATTCTTAGAGAAGTTTCAAGCATACCCACATGCTTTAATAGTTCATAGTTACCGATTGAACTCGGAGATTAAGATTCTCCAAACTCTACATTTACAGCTATAAACTATGATTCTTCTTTAGATTATGTGGCGATTGGGGGAACATACGATAGCTATCCTATGATTGGATTGTATAATAATAAAGACTATTTCAGTAGGTTTACTTGGCTTAATACCTATAATTTTCTAAATGGATCTTCAGAATTTAAAACATAGCCTTTGTAATCGGTTGAAGCCATTAGCTTTTAGCTAAATACTAATATTATAGCTCTATTTCGCACGAATATAACTAAAGAGTACACCTACTTTGCTACAGGAAATTATGTTCTAGCTAGAATAGATTTCAGTGGACTGACTGTATCAACGGGCTAATTAGTAGAAGTTGGAATGTTTCATAAATTATAACTAAATACGATGAATGTCCGAGCAGATGGATAGGTTTATCTAATCTCACAAGACATTACTGAAAAAGGAGTAATTTATGTTATATCAAGAGATTTATCAACTATTATCCAGAAGCATATGATTGATAACAAGCAGATTTTCTTTCATTCTCTCTATTATTATTAAACTAACTAGAAACTTTATTTGCTTGGTGCCTAAATACTACCTAGTGGCTAGAGTTATAGTCTTTTTATTACTAATGTTTTAGACTCTACACCAACAGGATACTTAATCAGTGCTATTAGTTCAACTGAATTAGCGTAATATCAAGCAATTATTACTTTTACTGCATAAAGCTTGGGTTATCTTGCATCATGCTTGGAAAGTAGTTTGAGTTTAAAACCTATATTTGGATTATTCGTCTACAACATAGCTAAAGATAAGATAAAACTCTATTATCGAGAAACATCTTCTACTTTTAATCAAAGAGGATTTTAATGTATTGGAGTTAGAGTACTATCTACAGCTAATATAGCAGCATTCTACAGAGCTAGAACAGAGGATAAAGGATCAATAGTTCAAATAAATTATTAAAAAGATCCTTTTAGTGATATTGTAATATTTGATGGAAAAATAGGTGAATGGGGATAGTATTTTTCTGAGACAAACACTCTATTTGCCAGTTAATTTAATTACCTATAGAGCACTGATGACTATTTTAATTTTGGCTATCTCTAGGAGTATTCTGGAAAACAGAGAGCATATTTAACAAGAACCAAGCAGAAGAGATACTATTTAATGTTTAGTAATCTCTTCTTTGATTTTTCTGCAATATATACTGAAATATTGATAGGCTCCTTAAGTGACTTAACTACAGTAACAATATAAACCTCATCTCCTATAGTCTCTCAGCCCAAATTGTAATCATATAGAGATTTGCTATCATAATTGAATCTTTGGAAAAATCAAACAATTGCTACAGATATGGATAAATATGTTGGCAAACTTAAAGTTTAGTACGATCATAAACCAAATATTTTGCCAAGTGTCATCGACTGTTATTTAGGGACTCAATGTAATGTATTTCAGGCTAATTACTCACTCAAACCATTTTGCTCAGATATTGGAAACTTGAAGATAAATTACAACCTCTAAATCAGTAGTAGCAGCAATAATATTTTGTTTAACAACCTTTTGCAATCATAATCAATATTCTCTTTTGTTTCAAATACTAACAGTGAGATGCAAGTCAATATTTCTATTAAGACGAGAGAGTTGTAATATATTTACTTATATTCCCTCACTATAAATTACAATATCAGTGATTCCTCTACACAATTTACTCTGATATAGGAGAATTTTTCTCTTAATATTTCAAATAGCTGCCAAAATAATTACTAAGTGATTAAGAATCCTTAAACAACTAATGTATGATATAAACTATAGACTTCTCCTCAATATTATTAGTTGGAAAAATTGGAATTAGGCCCAAATCAAGAATGTTTTAAGTAAAATTTGAATTTATTGCCAGATTAGTAACCATTAATAAATAGTGGAGTATTATTGCCAAATTAGTTAATGGATTTTAAAATTGGACTAAATACAATAAATCCAGATTATATTGGCAAATACTAATTCCTAATAGAGGTTGTGGTCTAGGCAGATATTGAGGGTTTTATTCCCAAAAAATATTTTTTCCCTTTTAATTATGAAATTTATACAGATACTACACAATTTTTCATCACCAACACTGCACCATACTTTTAGAGTCCTTTGACTGATTTTGAATTATACGTTGGAGATAAATATGAATATTAATTACCAAGTATTAAGGATGATGAGGGTGATGATTATAGTGTGTCAATTTCAAGCAAATTTAGTAGTCTATTTTTAGAAATTACAAATTAAAAAATAATAATTAATCCAGTGGAAGTTGTTTCAGGAGTGCATTAAGTTGATGTTAAAATTGAGGATAATAACATTTAAAAGCTTTTCAGTATAAGTAAATTCATATTAACGATTAGAAAAAGAGATGTTTCTTCATTCTTTGAATCATAGTTAAAGTGATTAGAATTATATAATGATTATTAAAAGTCACTTTAATTAAAAATAACGGGACATTTTGAGGCAAGGATCACATAAATCAGTAATACAGGTTAAGTTATTATTAAATTCGATTTTGAATTAAAAGAAATTAATGACTATAAAGTTAAGGTAATTAAAGCCCTTAAAGTTTATGCAGAGATTGATGATTAAGAAGTAGATTATAATTTTACTGTTATGAGTCTACAACAGAATAAGCTAATAATGTAGATGAATTTCACAAATATGGAGAATATCTCTAAAACTTCTGTAATCTTATTAATTAAAAATATTTTAGGTTTGGGACTAATTGATTGTGATATTTAAAATGAATTTCTTATTTTACGATAAATCTGAAAAACTAATGATTAAACAAAATTATCAGATAAAAGGTTATATACCTCCTCAGATTTCAGAAGGATTAAAGAAGTTATTAGCAAATTTAGGAACTTCAACAGCCATTTCATTATCAAGTATTATTGGCTCTAATTTTATTATCAATATTCTAATGTAAGATTTATTTCGTAAGTTGTTTTTAGGTCATAAGGAATATAAATGCTCTGGGGAATGATAAATAGTTTTTAGCTAATTACCCACTTACCTTTGATGTCAATTAATACCCCATCTAATCTTGCACTTTTTTACAGTTTCATTTTAGATGTTACTAGCTTCTAGTTTTTTGACGTTGAAAAGGTTAATGAATATTTCTTTGAATATGATAGAGACAGCATCATTGACTTATCTTTCAACACTTATTTCGAAAGAATGGGATATACATCATCTAATCTTATTAGAAATCTAGGCTTAATATTCTATTTCTACTGCTTAGTAGTTATTATGATGATTTTAGCCTTAACAGTGATTTTTGCTGCATTACAATTCAAAAGGTATGAATTAATATAAATCAATTTTATTAGTTGATGGTTAAAGAATATTGCTAAATTGATATTAAACAAAGTTTATTTCAATTTCGTTCTAAGATTCATAATGGAATCTCTAATTGAACTAATTTTGTGCTCATCAATTAATTAAATTAATGTAAGATTTTCTTGAAAAGTTATATACTTTTAGGAATTCAATACTTTTATTGACATAACCGCTGCTATTTTGTCTATAAAGTTTCTTTTAATTGCATTAAGTTTGCCAATACTAACTTTTCTAATTACTCATGTAATAATTTACTGATTAAATTAATTTTAGGTAAAATACAAATATAGATAAGATCTGATTAAAGAATATTATAATCCACTTAGTGAAAACTTGAATCATAAAAATCTCATTTTTAGTACTATTCAAATTCTAAGGAGATCCCTTTACTCTTTGACCTTTGTCATATTTGAAGGCAATTAAGGACTTTAGATCTTTTTTTTGATTATACAGAATATGTTAATTATGATATACATAGCATTCTTTAGACCATATATCAGCTAAAAAGCAAATAATTTAGAGATATTTAACGAAACTATTTTCATGCTAATTTTGTATAGCATGATAATTTTTTCAGATGCTTATACAATAGAGTATGATTAAAGAATGATAATTGGATACTTTCCTATTATTTTATCAGTTATATTTCTATTGGTTAATATTTGTCTTTTAATAGGCTTAAAAATCATAGCTTAGCTAAAATATCTTTTAGAAAAAAATAAGAACTAAATTAGTATAGAAAAAGGAAAAGATTAGTAGGAAGAATGAAGAAATATGTAATTCATCCTCTTATCAAAATAGTCGAAATTGTATAAAATAATCTTTAAGTAATGAAATGAAAAATTTTAGTAATATAGATGTGATTATTTTTAAAACAATTGAATAAATAGATTAAGCTGGATTAACAGATCTTAATATAATGGAAAATAATTTCAATGATGAATTTGAATAATTTCAAGATAATTTTCCACCTATATAATCTAGACCTCTTAGCTTTTAAATAGATTAGAGAAGTAAATACTCATATCAATCATTTATTACTCAAGAATCAGTCATTGAAAAGAAAAAGAAATCATTCAAACAAGAGAAACTCTGCATTATTATATGAAAGCTAAAATTAATTTTATAAAACTCTGATTTCACTCTTTATTTTAATATATTACATCTTGGGGTTTTGGGGTTTTGGGGTTTTGGGG